ACTACTTGAACATTATGATGGTGCAAGCCTATTGCGATTGTATCATATATCAAAAACAAATGATGAGAAGGATACATTTCGTCTATTACAGGATGATTCTCAACGACTTGCTGGCAATGGAGAGTCGAATTTGACTTTTACAGAATTTATTCGCTTTCAAACGGAATTAGAGAGAAGAATGAATAATGAGCAAAATCGTTTGGAAAAAACCAATTCTACGAAAACGTGCGCGTTGTTCTAATCAACATTTTGTACTAAGCATGCATTCTAGTTTTAGGAAACTGTTGTTTTCAAGACAATAGCCGAATTAACCTACCCCTAGAAGGATCTGTTGTGAACATATATGTTGACGATACAGAATCTTTCAACCATCGAATGAATTCATCATCGATGAGAATTTATCCGTATTCGCAAAAATTTTGATCATTTAACGTATGCAACTGAGGTATATCTATGATGAGATAGACAATGTCTTCCGTGTTTACCCAATGGCGAATTACTTAATAATAGGCGATCATTCTCATTGAAGTAATTACCAGTACTATTCAGATTTTTTGAAAATCTTAGTTCATGAATTGTTGGGCACTGTGGTATTGACTTATTTTGATAGATGGAAATTTTACGTAACTGGTGTGCATGACGAAGTAAAGATCGTAAGTTGTTTGACGTTGGTGCGGCAGAATAAAATATTTCATTGATTGTCAATTGGATCACAAGATGTTAAAGATGACATAAGCGAACATTTGAACGGGCTTAGTTTTGAAAACAGATCAGGATGTGATATCATGATTATATTATTGAGAAATTCTTGTTGACAATCCTTACCAGATTTTGTTCATTTTATTGTTTTTGAAAGATCATTTTTTTCGTAATAAGACAATCAATATATCAAGATTTCATTTGTAGCCTTTAGGAAATGAACTTCGAAACGAATTGTATAATTCCTTGAATCTTTCTGTCTTTCTTTAACCAACATTTCTCACATTCGAAGTTGATAAGCATATGATTCACAATAATATTCGTAAATATATAATCTAAGATAGACTAAATGAGAAGGATGCAAATCATTGACCAATAATTTTCTCTGACGTTTTCAATAGACGAATCGAATGAATGAAAAGAAAGTGATTGTATTCGTTGAAATATATCAAATGATGGTATCTGTGTGTCATAATATCGTTCTCTCGATTTGATTCGGAATGAGTGGTGAATGTTTTTGAAAGATCCTGTCAGCCGTACATTTTAATACACGTTATAAATCGAAATGTTACATTCGATATTGTGCGTAAAGTAGATAATTAAATCGTTGGTTTACAAGCTATAAAATGCATGAAGAAGATCAAATTTATTGAAATACGTGAATACAATGAGTAAGACTTCATTAGACAACAATTCGAGACTCATTCCTACTCAACATAGAAACAAAATGCGAGTTCTCATGATGAAGGTAAAAGAGATTATATTTCATACATTCGAAAATCGTGTCTGAGTCAACGTGCTCGACTTGCATCAGCTTTCTTACAAAATGTAATTACGTCAGTGGTGACGTTTTTGACGTATTTTAAATAAATACCGATTTCTGTAGCCACGTTGTCGACAGAACATGCCGGCAAAAGCAGAAAGTTTACCTTCAGAAATCTGGCTCGACATCTTTCAATATCTTGAAGGACACGATTTGATCCAGGCATTTTCTCGTCTCAATCTGTTTTTTACTTCATTGCTATGCTCCAGTCACTTACGTTTAAACATACGAATTAAGCAAAATGAGTCCAATCGACGCTTACCAATGTCTCCTTGGTCGAAAATTCGTCTTAGTCAAATATCGTCACTGGCTGCTGGACAACGAAAAGCTAATTGCCTCATTCAATTCCTTCGCTGGAATGCAGCATCTCTTCTTGGTTTACGTTCGCTATCAGTTTACCTACGAAAATCGAAACTTGATGAAAATATTCAATTGTTGACGATCGCACTTCAACAAATTCCGTCACTCGTTAATCTTCGAATCAAATATGGCGGAAAGTTCTGTACAAATTTCGATTACTTCGAACCATTAATGATGTACATATTTAATAAGAGATCTCCGATACAAAACTGTTCCTTTGACTTCAATGTGCAGCATGACAAAATGAAGACGTCAAAGTGGACAAATAATCCATCGTTGAAATCCTTTCGAAGCAATCAAACGTCATGGACGGATTTGTTCACTCTGCTATCGTTTACTCCGTGTTTGTGCTTTCTCCAAGCTGAAATAAGACCATCGATTCTTAAACCCGATGTGGAAATCGTTCTTCTTCAGCTCACAAAAGCCAAGCTGATCTTAAACTCTCCACGTTTTGTTCAACTGGAAGCATTCAAAGCAATAGCACCAAATTTGACGTGTCTGGATTTGGTAGGTTCTTTCAATTTCAGAGATAAAAACTATTTTAATGAAACTCTATGGCTTCACTTTTTGCACAATATTAAATCCTATCGAGTAAATCTGAGTGTGTTCGTTTGGGGAAGTTCACATATACGAACTGTAAACAACTACATTCAAGATTTGCGGGAAAAACAATGGTGCGCTGCATCAGATCATCGGATCAATCTGCATGTCTCCATTCAATTCACTTCTTCATCTATACTTCAATAAAAAAGTTCTTAAGATTTCGAAATTTTTCTGTTCTTCAAATTGTGATGAATATATGGTTGTATAGCTGATTTACTAAGTATGTGCTTACATAAAAATTTGAGATATAGACGATCGCTTTGATTTTTATTTTTTTATGGGAAATTTGCTTCTTTTTGTTTGGCTTTATGAGCTTGTTCGCACTCACTCTCTAGTTAACAGGAAAAACGAATAGTTCTAATGGTCGTGTCGACGCTGTAACACCTCACTATTGCGTATGCTATCCTTGCAGCGATGTTTGTTATGAGTGGTGTGTCACGATAACTCTTTTCTGACTAGCTATCGGATCAGAAGTGGTGCTGACGACAATTGCGATCCGAATGAAATCATACCATATCGAACAGCGATACTCTGGACGACTGTCAAAGATCATCTCGCATCGATTCGATTACTACTGAAAATGTGTCCCATCGAAGGCTTTGCATTGGCTGGTTGTTCTCTAGAGGCGAATTTCTCTCTAGATGCACGGATACAGACAATGTCCGAATTGCCAAAGCTCGTTTTAGGATCTTGTCTGCTGAAATAGCTCACCAAAGTGTGTATTCCCTCAGCCTCTGTTTATAACTTTCAGCAGGAATGTCATACATCAGATTCAAGAAAAGGAGCTGTATTAATGTCTTGATGTTTGGATTCACGTGTTTTATATAATTTAACTGTTCTGTAAAAAAATGCTTAGCAACAAAGAAGATCGCTATGCGTACAGGTGGTATAGATAAGCGTTCGATCTCATAAACTTATAGCTAAACAATGTTAGATTCCCGAAAAGAAAGGCACTGCAGATTGAGCCAGAACTATTTCACAGCTGAGTATATGAAACAAATAAAGGTGACATGTTTTCTCCTAGTGGCCTCTATCGCCGTTCGATTGTCGTTCGTCAATTCGTCAATTCGTCAATTCGTTAATCAAACGTGATCAATATTTCTGTCCCATTTCTACAATGACAGATCAAAAGGTGTAAACAATCAGTGATATATTCGCATTTATTTCTGTGATATTAAATATGGTTGAAGGATCGTATTCACAATGGTTTCGCGTTCTTTTACCAATTTGTTGCATTTGTTTTCTTTATCTTTGCTCATTTTATTTATTTCTGTGTGCGACGAATTCTTTGATTTACTCCACGATTTGTCTCCTACACGCAAACGAATCGTTCTGTGCAGAAATTGATCAGAATAAAACACTTCGTGCATCACAAGAAACGATACAAAAAGAAAGTTCACAATGGTCGCTCTACGGAACACTATCATTCGCGATCGTTGCATGTTTCATCTCTCCATTCTACGGAAGTTTATCCGATATGAAAAATCGAAAAATACCGATTGTTTTAACAATATCCAACGGGATAATTACCGGTTTGATCATCACTATCGGAAGTGTTTATCAAGGAACGAAGACATGCTTACTATTCTACATTTTTGCAAACATTATCAACGGATTCGGTGGCGGTTCATTGCTTTTGATTTCGTAAGTTCTTCTGAACTTAGAACTCGATCGACTTTCGTCTTCTCTAGTTCATGTTTTGGATATGCAACTGACAGTTGTACAGATAAAGGAAGACATACTCAAACCATTGCACTTATCGAAGCCGCACTGAATCTTGGCGTCGTTCTTGGTTACCTTCTCTGCACTTTTGTATTCGAATTACATACAAAAATTTGGCATATTCTACTTGTTCACGTACTTCTCTTAGCTTTAGCACTTTTAATTAGTCTGGTGTTTCTTCGAAGTCAAGCAATAATCGATTTTTCTTCGATGAACCTTTGGACAAAAATCAAACGGCCATTTGTTGATATTCGTGATTTATTTGTCGATTTGAAACACAATCAATTAATCATCTCTTTTATTGTTTTATTTCTTTCATTGTTTTTCTATGAACTCTTTCGAATGGGTTTATCATCAACTTATTATTTATATTTACATCGAATGTCATTCAATGATACTCAATATGCCGCGTATTTCACTTGTGAACAAATTGCTACATGTCTAGCCTTGATATTCTTAGCATTGTTAAGACGAAATTGGCAGATTAATGATCTGTATTTATGCATTGTTGGTCTATGTCTTTCATTAATTGGTCCAATGTTATTCGCATTCGCATACAACAATAAAGGAATGATATTCGGAGGTAGGAGAGAATGAGCAGGAATGAATAAGCTGTTTTTAATTTTTAGCAATCCCTTCAAATATGTTCGGCATTTATTTTCCAGTCTGTCTACGAGCTGTCATTGCTCGATTAGTTCCGGAGAGAGATAAAGGTAAACAAGAAAAGTATTCGATTGTTTTTTCATACGAATTTCCTTTTGGTATGTTTAGGTAAAGCATTTAGTTTTGTCGCATTGATCCAGAATCTTGATATTCTACTGGGTACGATAACTTGTATCGAAATTTACCGTTCATCGATCAGTTTCTTCGCTGGATTGGTTTTTATTATCGGTATCGTTACAAAACTAATCGCATTGATTCTTATTCTGTAAGTTCAATCAGACTATCTCATCCTCTTGTTCGAATGAACTTTTTTTCTAGGGTTCAAATATTTTGTATTAGTCATACACCGCAATTATCGATTATCGTGCCATTGGATGTCGTCGAAAATCCGCTTTTAGATGTACAGTTGAGTAGTGACGATGAATTGCTCAATCCCTAATTGCATTTCTTTTCGCCTGTGATCAATCAATCAATAAATAATAAGCTTTAATTCTTTTTTTGTAGATATAATGAACCTTTTGGCTGTTAAAATTTCCTCTTTATTGTGCATAATCACCGCTATGCCAATTGATCAAAATGTACGTTGCATTTCGTTTGCAAAACTTCGTTGTTTTCGCATGAAATCTTTTAGAATAACAAAACAGAAAATAGTACATTGAATGCGGGTGTTCGTGGTATGATGTCCGAATATCACATTGATAAATTACCAGCTGCGCTACGCATTTCACAAATCATTCCGAAATTTCAAGCTCCGAAGAAGTTCAATATAACAAAAATTGTACAGGATATGAAAGATTTTGGCATTCATAGTTTAAAAGATGAGAAACACATCGAAGCTCTGCCGTTAGAGCGTGATGGGAAGATCAATCCTGAATTTCACAAGGAGATTTTCTTAGGAAATCACGAACTATTCGAATCTGATATTCAGCATAATGAAGAAAAACGAAATAAAAAATTAGAAGAAATCTTCCGTGTGTAAGTAGAGACAATGCTGATGATTTCATTGGATTTGTGAGAGTATTTAGAGCCGATGTGGATCATGATGAACGGTTGTCGAAAGAAGAAATGTTGAATTATGTTTTGAAAAATATCCATGAACATTTACGAGAAGCGAAGCTGCGCAATACGCAACTGTTTTTGTTTATAGACTCGAATGAAGATGGAAAAGTGACGTGGAATGAATATTTTGCCTTGTATGTCAAATTTCATAATATGAATGAGACCGGAATCAAAGAAACTGACCCGTTTGACTTCATCCAAGGACCGTTTGATAATAATTGTAAATTTTTCGTTTGAAATAACAAACTTTCGTGTACTTTTGATTGGTTTAGTTCAACGAGAGTTAGTCAATATTCGTTATCGTTGGACAGATGCTGATGCTGGTGCTGATAATGAGCTGAATATCGACGAATTCCTTGCTTTTCGTCATCCGGAGATCGCTGGACATTCGTATAAACATATTGTTGATGATATGTTGATACAAATGGGTCGGTATTTCTTGATTTTCAGTTGATGTGCATTGTTTTTTTCTCATATTGTATAGATCGGAATGAAGATCAACAACTAAACGAGACAGAATTTGCATTTTTACCTTGTGAGTCAATCCAATCGAGAATGCTCAACAGGAAATATTTCTTTTTCAGCGAGTGTCTTAGAAGATGGCGGAAATAAAGAATGGGTTGAAATGGACAAACGTTGGTTAGAAGAGCAAAGAAACGAATTCCGCGAAATGGATGAAAATCACGATGGAATTCTGACAAAAGACGAGCTATTAGTAAGTCGAAGTATTTCCATCTAGAAGTTAACGTCCGTTGTTTGTTTAGCATGCATACGATCCGTTGAATCGCGTTCATATAAGTAATCAAATCAAGAAATTGTACTCTAAAGTGGATGATTCGCCTTCAGACAATCTGTTATCATTGAATGAAATTCAAAAACACGCGGATGTGTTTACTGATATGCAACTCTTAGATACCGAAAAAGCATTACATGAAGAAATGTGAAATATGATAATGAATTTTTCAACTTCGTATTATTCTTTTGTGATCTCATTGTTCCGCTATTTTTAACAAGCTTTGTTTTTAATAAATGACAATTACAATATCGAACAATTATAGTTTAATATGCGATAACGTCTGCTGGAAGAGTTTGGTTGTTGGTGTTGATCGAAATCGTCTGATAAACTTTATTTTCGGATATCAAAACACCGTTTTCGTCTGTGACATTCGTTGCTTTGAAGATTTGCTTCTTTCCGTTGACAACCAATTCTTTGATACATGTCGTTGTTGTCAATTTTGCTTGACGGAGCTTCTTTCGACGATATGGTTCAGATGACGATGACGAGCTAACAGTTGTGTTGCAAACAGGTTCAACAGCATCAAGTTGCTTTCGATCGTCTGTGTTATCCGAAGGAAATGGTGCTGAATTCATCAAGTGTTGAAAACGTTGATGCATAGCAGTCATCATCCTGTTCATTTCATCGAACATCGATGAAACTGCTGTGCCGTTCATTGGCGATTCATCGAAAAAACTCGACGGAAACAGCCAGCTCTGCGCTGTACCAATCAGCAATAAGAAACAAGTGACTTGTATTAAAGTCGCCATGAATATTCAGTGCGTGTGCGTCGTTTGTTGAATGAATCGATTGATATTCTTGTTCGAGCATTTATATATGTATCGAAGGAGAGACGTCATCTGGCTTTTTCTCTCTCTTATCTGTTCTGTGAGATATGTACCATTGTAGAAAGGTCGCGACTACT